TCTTCTCCATCAAGAGGACCCTTCAACATTTCATATAATACTGGTTTGCTGGTGATGAGCTCATTTAGATTTTTCTTGTCTGAGAAACTCTTTATATGTCCATTGGTTCTAAATTATAGCTTTGAAGGATAGAGTGATCTTGGTTGTAGTTCCTTGTTTTTCATCATTTTGCATATTTATTTGCACTCTCTTCTGGCCTGCAAAGTAGCTTTTGAGAAAGTGGCAGTGGCAGACAGCTTTATGGGAGATCCATTGTAAGTAACTAACTGCTTTTCTCTTGCTGCTTTTAAGATTCTCTCTTTGTCATTAACCTTTAGCATTTTGATGATGATGTTCTTGGTGTGGGCTTCTTAAGGTTCATCTTGTTTAGGACTCTCTGTCCTTCCTGGACTTTTATGTCTGTTTCCTTCACCAAGTTAGGGAAGTTTTCTGTCATTTTTGCAAACAGGTTTTCAATTTCTTGCTCTCTCTCTTCTTCTTCTGGCACCCCCATGATGTGAATGTTGGTATGCTTGAAGTTGTTCCAGAGCTCCTTACACTGTCCTCATTTTTTTTTTATTCTTTTTTCTTTTTACTGTTCTGATTGGGTGTTTTTTCTTTCTTATATTCCAAATCAGTGGTTTGCTTCTTGGCTTTACTTACTCTTTTATTGATTCCCTGTAAAGTATTCTTTATTTCAGTTAGTGCATCCTTTATTTCTGACTCGTCCTTTATTATGCTCTTGAGGTCCTCACTGAGTTCCTTGACATTCTCACAAGTTTCTTGAAATTCTCACTAAGTTAATTGAGCATCCTTATATGCTGTGTTTTGAACTCTACATCTGTTAGATTTTCCCCCCTCCATTTTGTTTATTTCTTTTCATGATGTTTTGTACTGCTCTCTCATTTGGAACATGTTTTTATGTCTCTCATTTTGGCAGCCTCCCTGTGTTTGTTTCTATGTATTACATATAGTTGCTAAGTCTCCTGGGCTTCCTAGGTTGGCCTGCTTTATTAGGTGTGCTGCAGGATCCCATGGCACAGCTTCCATGCTCACCCAGCTGAGCCCTTGAGGTGCACCACTTGTATGAACTTCACCACCTTCTGTTGTAATTGAGTCTAGATTGCTGTTGGCATGTCATTGGAAGGGTTTTACACAGGCTGATCAGCTGCAGGGCCTGGCTATGCCCACTAACCACTGACCTCTTGCTGTAGCACAAGAGAACCGAGAGACCACCAGAGCCAAATTAAAGCCAAATAGAGAGTAAAGCTGGCCAACAACTGATCCTGAGTTCTCAGATGCCAGCCCTGGGGCCTCCAAATGTTGTGGAGTGCCAGAGTCAGAGAAAGACCATTAGAGAATTGAGGTCCAAGTAAGAGCCATTTATTAGTCAGCTGGCATCTGATTCCAAATACCCCTGTGACAGTCTTTGGAATCACCCTCGATATGCTTTATTACATGCCTTTTATACCTTACAGAAAATAGGCTCTTCTTGATATAATGCCCAGGGCCACAGTAAAGTTGTATAGAATTAGTTTGCTTTAAGGGTAACAGGAACACCCAGGCACACCCAGGAACACCCAGTTATTTCAGGTATTTTAAGGTACATTGGGTCACACTTTGCCCTGAGCTGTACAAACACAATGCAAGCCTAATTCCTTGAGATTGTGAGGAAGGTTGAGTCTCTGACTCAAGACCTCCAGGCTCTGTGGACTCTGTCAGACATGTAGCCATGTAGCCGGCTCCCAGCAATTTCTTGGTTCAGGGAGTATTCCAATTTACTGAGGTTATTTTGACTAAACAGGTTCGGCTAGAGGGCATACAGTGACTTTCCCGATCATCAATTATGGAGCAGCACAATAATTTACCAGTCATCAATTATGGGGTTATAAACATGCCAGCACACTCTGACTACCTAGGATAATCAGCTGTGCTGGGGCTCACTACACAGAGCAAGACTTACTTCAGCAGTGCTCTGGTACCCACTGAGTCCATTTCTTGAGTTTTGACATGGTCTGAAGCTGTCCAGTGGGTGTGCTGGCTCTGGGGCAAGGTCAGCCACTGCCTGTGTTCTACCTGGGGCCACAAGTCATAAGCTACAAAGCAATCTGTCGATGGCTGCTTCTTGTGCTGGGCTTGGAAGTGCCCAGGCAAAGCCAAGTTGTGAACCAAGGCAGGCTTCTTCTGGTGCCATGCCTGGAGCCACTTAGCAAGAGGTATAGGGCTTGCTGTGGCCAGATGCTGCTTGTTTGAGAGAAGTTAGGAAAATCTGAAGGAGGAGCCAAAACAGGTCAATCCTATGGTAATGCTACTGGAAACAGCTTGGGTGGGACCAAAAGTTGGGTGTTGCAGACCCTCAGGGAATTACCAGGGCATGGAAAACAGTGTGAGCCAGTTTTCTGTGGTCCCAGATATGGGGCCAGTCTGCTATCCCTGTGGGGGAAGGGCTTATCAAAAAAAACAGCCTCTGCCAGCAGGTCTGTTTGAGATAAAGCTGCCTGTCCAGGCCTTACCCCAGTGTCAAACAGCTCAGTTCTTTCCCATAAGTCTCTGGTGTTTGTCAAGCCGCCTCCTCTTTGTGCTGGAGCTCAGAGGGAGTGGGTCCAAGTAAGTCCATGTGCAGAATTTTTAAGAGGAGCTACCTGGGACTTAGAAGCCTCTGTCTCCCTCAGCATCAATTCCCACTGGCTTTCACAGCCAGAATTGGTGGAGACTTCTCCTTCTGTTACTGGAACCCTGAGCTACAGGGCTTGGTGTGAGATAGGGACCCTTCACTCCTTGGGGAGGATCTTCCCTGATGATGTATCCCTCTGATCTTTATTCATCATATGTATGTGTGTGTGTGTGTGTGTGAGACCAACCCATCCACACCTCTGCCCCTCCTACAAGTCTCCATGTGAATTCTTTAATTTTGTAGTTGTAGGACTTCCATTCAGTTTGATTTCATGTGGTTTTGAGGGGTGTTTGTTTTGTAGTTTAGTTCTCATATTGATGTGGTTGTGGAAGGAAGTGAGTACCATGTTTGCCTACGCTGCAATCTTGACCAGACATGAGAAGACTGTTAATATAATTTTAATCTTCTTGAACTTAGTTTGTGTCCTAACATGTGCTCTTTCTTGAGAATGTCCCTTGTGCACTTAAGAATGTGTATTCTGCAGTTTTGGGGTGTAAAAAATATCTATTAAATCCATCTGATCTAGTGCTTTATTTAGGATCTCTGTTTACTTGTTAATTTTTTGTCTGGAGTGTAGAGTTGAGGGTTTGGTGGATTAAATAAATGTAACCTTAAAGTATACATTCTTGTGGCCTGGCCAGCCAAGGACCAAAGTATACATGTGAATAGATAAGGTATATATATTAGGTTTGGAAAGCCACCCTGTAAGTATCAAAGTATGCATGATAGGGTTGGAATACCACCTTGAATTTTAAAGGACAAACACATGACCTTGCCCCCTGGATTTTAAGGGAATGGCAAGAACTATCTGCTAATAGATAACCACTGCATTGTATAGATAACCATTGCTTTATGTACACGGAAACTGATTGTTCCCTCAGGCATAACAGCTAACTGCAAATATCTGCTTCTGTATGTGCTTGCTTGCTCACATACTCTTAATCCAAATTCCTTAACAGGGGCTAAGACAACTATATAAGCAACCCTCCCCCTGAGCTCGGGGCTGCTCTCTCCTCTGAGTAGGATGGGACAGTCACCGCACGGCTAATAAAGCTCTCTTAATTTGAACCCAGTTCGGAGTCTGAGTCTGGTCTGTCTCGTTGGTCTACAACATTTGGAGGCCCCAGCGAGACTGACAAACAAGGTCCCCACATAGGTGGGTTGACCTCCTCAGACTCTGGGAGACAGGTCCATCCCAGGAACAGATGGGCCATCTAGGGGAAGGCCTCAGAGAAGACATTTCTCCACCCCAGTCGCAGTTCTGCCCTGGAATTGTCTCCACTCCAAAATTCCATCTAGAGAGCATCTGGAAACCCTGGGCCCAGGTTCAGTTTGGCAGACAGGACGTCCCTCAGTTAAGTCTGTTTCTGAAAACTCTGCAGAGTGAGGGGAAGTGGATCTGCTGGATGCAGCACAGAGATCCTGCCCCAGGGCCATAGCGAGACATTGCTTTTGGCCCCGGTTTGGTTTGTCTTGTTTTCTTTTTTTGTCTATCTTATTTGTTTGTCCTTTTGTGTTTTGTGTTTTATGTTTCTGTGCTGTGCCGGCCTGTATTCTTCAAAATGGGTCAGGGACCTTCAGGACCTAGGACCCCTCTTCAATGTCTCCTTAATAACTTCTCAGACCTTTTCAAGTGCACTTCAGATTACAGCATCTCAACAGACCCTGGATTCTTGCACACTTTGTGTGAATTGGAGTGGCCCACTTTCCGGGTCAATTGGCTCTCCCAGGGCACTTTTGACTTAAGCTCTTTGTTCACAGTTTGAGGCATCATCTACGGGACTCCTGGACTCCCAGACCAAACTCCTTACACCGATGTTTGGATTGACCTAGCTACTGACAAGCTTAATTATATTAAGAAATGTTTGTGCCCTAATAGGGAGAATATTTTAATTGCCCAGCTTCCATGGAAGCCTCAGAAGCCCTCGGCTCCTGCTCCCTCCCAAAGGCTTTACCCTGTTCTTTCAGGTCCCCCAGAAGACCCCCTCATTGACCCTGTGAGGCCACCCCCTTATCAGTCTCTGCCACCTGCCGCTGCCGTGGCTGGAGAGGCTGAAGGCCTTTAGCCACTCAGTCCTTCCCATACATGTGGCGGCACCACTTATAACCCTCCTTTACAGGTGCCAGACTCCTTGGCTCCCATCCTGCCCCTCAGGTTGCTCCACCACCAGGTGGAGACCAGACTCAGCCCTTTATAGTTTATGTCCCGCTTTCAACTAGTGATCTGTATAATTGGAAACAACAGAATCCTTCCTTCTCTGATAAACCCCAAGGTTTAATCTCTCTCCTAGAGACAGTCTTCCACACCCATCAGCCCACTTGGGATGACTGTCAGCAATTGTTGCAGGTCCTGTTCACCTCCGAGGAGAGGGACAGGATACACAGAGAGGCAGCAAAATTCATCCTCAGGCCAGCCAACCCCTCACAGATCCAGCCCAAATAGGAGCCTACCTCCCAACTACCCGACTGAATTGGGACCTGAACACTGATCAAGGTAAGGAGGCTTTAACCCAGTATCACCAATCTCTACTTCAGGGCCTCCGTGGAGCAGCCAAAAAGCCAACTAATCTGTCTAAGGTAAGCAAGACTGTTCAAACCGCAGGGGAATCCCCAGCAGCCTTTCTTGAATGTCTCATGGAGGCTTATCTCCTCTTTACTCCCATAAACCCAGAGGCCCCTGAGAATAGACGGGCAATTAATATTGCTTTTGTCACCCAGTCGGCCCCAGACATTAGGGAGAAACTCCGAAAATTAGAGGGTTTTGAAGGAAAGAATCTTAGTTAATTGAAATAGCTCAGAGAGCATTTAACAACCAGGATGACCCAGAAATGGCCAGTACTAAAAAAGTCACAAGAGTAACCATAGCCGCTCTTCAAGAGAATCAAAAAGGGCAATGAAAAAATAAGCATAAAAACATAGGGCCAACCCCATGGAGACCTAGGCAATGATCTCGGCCACTTCTTGACCCTAACCAATGTGCCTACTTCAAAGAATATGGTCATTGGAAAAAGGACTGCCCTAAGAGGGGGGGTCAACAGAAACCTAAGGACCTCATCCGCCAATACCCGATCTCCATAAAGGCCAAACTAGGCATATTAATAGACTCAGAGAAGCTGGCATTTTAAAGCCTTGCCAGTCGGCCTGGAACACTCCCCTCTTGCCAGTTAAGAAGCCTGGGACTGAGGATTTTAGGCCGGTCCAAGATTTAAGGGAAGTAAACACTCGGGTGGAAACCATCCACCCCACGGTTCCAAACCCTTACATGCTTCTGAGCCTGATCCCTCTTAACCGTGTTTACTATACTGTCTTGAACCTCAAGGACACCTTCTTTTCAATTCCTTTATTGCCTCTCAGCCAACCCATCTGCGCCTTCAAATGGGTTGATCCAGAACGGGGATTCTCAGGACAACTGACCTGGACCTGACTGCCTCAAGAATTCAAGAACTCTCCTACCATCTTCGATGAGGACTTGAGCAAGGACTTCCCAACTGTTCTGGGAAAGGTACCAACATGTCACCCTGCTACAGTAGGTAAATGATTTGCTTCTAGCAGCCTCTTCTCTTCCTGAATGTTAGGAGGCCTCAAAGGCACTTCTACTAGAGCTAGAACACTTAGGATATTGGGTCTCAGCCAAGAAAGCTCAATTATGCACCACAACCGTGACCTACCTAGGTTATGAACTCAAAGAAGAAAAACAGTCGCTCTCCAATAGCAGGATAGAGGCGGTCATGAAAATCCCTACCCCCACAACCAAGAGACAGGTTCAGGAATTCCTTGGGGCTGTAGGGTACTGCTGCCTCTGGATCCCTAGCTTTGCCGAGATCACTAAACCTCTATACCAGCACAGGGGGAAAGGACAATGCCTTAACCTGGACTGAGATAGAACAACAGGCCTTTGAGAAACTAAAAATGGCCTTAATGTCTGCACCGGCCCTAGCTCTGGCTGATATTGCTAAACCCTTCCAGCTCTTTGTCTCTGAGACTCAAGGCATTGCCAAAGAGGTCCTAACCCAATCATTAGGGCCCTGGAAGAGACCAGTTGCCTACTTATCTAAGAGATTAGATTTAGTAGCCTCTGGCTGGCCCAGCTGCCTGTGAGCCATAGCAGCTACTGCTATTTTAGTTAAAGAAGCATCCAAGCTAACCCTAGGGCAAGACCTCCAGATTATTGGGGTATACTCTGTTGAGGCTCTCCTCAGGAGCCCTCTGGACTGGTGGATGTCTAATGCCTGGATCACCCAATACCAGGTACTCATCTTAAACTCCTCCTGAATCCAGTTCCTGAAGACCTCTGCCCTCAACCCAGCTACCCTGCTGCCTGATGATGACCCTCAGGCTCCCCTTCATGATTACTCAGACATTCTTGAGACTCTAACCTGAGGTCTGACCTAACTGACAACCCTCTCCCAACTCCAGAGCATGCTCTCTATACAAAAGGGAACAGCTTCATCCGGGAAGGGGTTTGATATGCGGGAACCGCAGTAGTCACACAAGATGAGGTCATCTGGGCCCAGGCACTAGGGCATAAGACTTCAACTCAGAGGGCTAAACTAATTGCTCTCACTCAGGCATTAAGATGGGCAAAAGGCAAGTCAGTAAACATCTACACTGACAGCTGCTATGCCTTTGCCACAGCCCATGTCCACAGGGCCCTCTACCAAGAGAGAGGACTCCTAACCTCAGGAGGGAAACAGATCAAAAATAAAGAAGAAATTCTTGCCCTCTTAGAGGCCATTTGGCTACCAACAAAAGTGGCCATTATCCACTGCCGGGGCCACCAGAACTCCCGACACCCCTGAAGCTAAGGGGAATGCCTTTTCTGATCAGACAGCCAAGGAGGCTGCCCTAAGACCAGTGGGGCCACTAGAGATCCTTCCAGTCCTTCCAAGAAAAAGCCTCCCCAAAGAGCCCTCCTATACCCAAGAGGAGGAAGAACTTGGACGAAGGCTCAACTGTGACCATGGGCCTCGAGGCTGGAGGCTTTTCTCCAATGGGAGGATCCTCTTGCAAGAACTGAACTCTCAGCTCCATCAGGGCACCCACCTCGGCAAGACTACACTCTCCAGTCGCATAGCCCGGAACTTTTATGTCCCAAACCTCAACAGATGGATAGAACCCGAAATAAGGTTATGCTCTGCCTGTGTCCAAATCAACTCTCACCCTCGGGAAACAACAGACCTCAGGACCTGAGAATGAGGCACAGCTCCTGGTGACCACTGGGAATTTGACTTTACTGAGGTCACCCCTGGCCAATATAGCTATAAATATCTGCTTGTTTTTGTAGATACCTACTCCAGCTGGACTGAGGCTTTTCCTACCAAGACTGAAACTGCAACCACAGTAGCCCGGTTACTGCACTCTGAGATAGTTCCCCAATTTGGCATCCCTCTAGCTCTGGGGTCTGACAATGGCTCAGCATTCATTGCTCAAACCACAAAATTGTTAGCTAAAGCTTTAGGAATTACTTGAAAATTGCATTGTGTCTACAGGCCTCAGAGTTCAGGACAGGTAGAAAGAATGAATAGGACATTAAAGGAAACTTTAACTAAGCTCCACCTTGAGACAGGTGATAACTGGGTAAGGATCCTTCCTTTTACCCCCCCTTCATGTGCACTGTACTCCTTATCTTAAGGGTTTTACCCCATTTGAAATCATGTTTGGCCAACCTCTTTGTATTCTACCCAAAATCGGGGACGAGGTCTTAGCCAACCTATGTAACCATAACCTCCTCAGCTCTTTGAAGGCAATCCAGAGGCTGAGAGAACAGACCTGACAGCCAATCAAGGACAGCAGACCCCAACCGGGGACACCCCAGATACCACCGCACAACTTCACCCCTGGTGACTGGGTCTGGGTCAAGAAACATCAGCCTGCCTCCCTTGAGCCTCACTGGACTAGCCCTTTTCCTATTATCCTGACTACACCCACCACTCTGAAGGTAGCAGGATGGAAATTTTGGATTCACCACACTCAGGTAAAGAAAGCACATCCTGAGCAAATACCTGAACACTGGGCCTTACAGAGAACCGAGGATCCCCTAAAGATAAAGCTCTCCAGGGTTTCCTCCTAGTCTCTTTCCTGACTCTGATTGCCAGTAAAGCACCTACCCAATTTAGGTGCACTCAAGGGCGGCCACTGCTACGAAGGTACGGGCCCCTGCCTGAGCCTCAGAGTCCTTCAAGGACAAGGGACATGCTTCATCATCGGCAACTATGATCTAAGCTCTTCCCCTTATGTGGATTCATGTGGGGATGCTACCACCCTAACTTCATTAAGCCCCTCATTACAAGAGACTTGTGTCCCAACTGCACCCCCCAGGACTTGGTTTGCTTGTGCCTCTGGACTGACTCCCTTCATCTTTCCCATTGAAACCAAAGACTTATGTATTCTTGCTAACATTATTCCACAGGTTTATTTCTTCTCTGTTTGGCCTTAGGAGAAACCTGTTGCTTTTATGCTAACCAATCTGGTATTATTAGAGAAAGCGTAAAATTAGTTAGATAGTTACTAGATGAACGAGAACAGGCTCTATTCACATCTAAGAATTGGTAAGAGAACCTCTTTAATTGGTCCTCATGGTTCACTACTCTTATCATTGGCCTTGCGAGCCCCTTACTCCTCCTCCTAGTAATATTAACTTGTGGCCCAATCCTAATTAATTGCTTAATGCAATTTTTTACAGAAAAAGTACAGGCTGTTAAGCTCATGGTTCTTAGCACTCCCTATAAGGAGCTAGCTGTTGTAACCCAGGAGATCGACCAAACTCAGATGCCGAGATGGGGTTTAACAAAAGGAGTTTATTGAGCTAAGTCCGCAGGCACCTGCAGTATGTCCCACACAGGAGTAACTGCAGTGGCGGAGAGCTAAAATGGCTCCTTTTTATAGGATTTTGTAAGGGGGGTTGCTACGTGTAAGCAAGCATGTTACAGAAGTGAAATTTAGCAGTTAGTTAATTACCTGTTACTCAGTTTCCCAGACATCTCAAAGGTCAAGAGGTTTTCAATACATTATCCCTGGCACCGACCCCAGGATTACTCAAGGGTTAGTTATTACCCCAGGGTTAGCGATTACTTAGGGATTAGTTAGTGAAGAATGTTCTTCAGTAAATGAGTAAACTGACAACCCCTTTGGTTGTCGTGAAGGCCTCTAGGAGTTTGGGTCAATGGCACTGAGTTATAACATTCCCCACTTCTTCTGGTGAATTAATCAAATCCTTGATTTATATTAGTCATGGATTAGGGGTAAGCGTTGGTAATGTTGCTGTTGGACTAGTACCATAAGCTTAATTGATTGGACCCACTCCTTGACAAATGCAGTGATTCTGTTAAGGATGATAGGTCCGCAGGCTAAGGCTATGAATAAGAGGAGGAGCAGACCCACTAGAGCTGTGAGGAGGGTGGTCAGCCAGGAAGACCAATTGAACATACTCTCATACCATGAGGTAGAGGTATGTTCTTCTCTCTCTCTATCTCGTAATCGCTTTTGCAGCTCTTGCATAGATTGTCTGATGATACCTGAGTGGTTAGCATAGAAACAACAGGTCTCTCCTAGGGAAGCACAGAGGCCTCCCTGTTTGAGGAAGAGCAGATCTAGACCTCTGTGATTTTGGAGGGCCACTTTGGCTAGGGAGTCAACCTTTTTTTCAAGGTATTTGACTTGGGTTTGGAGTAATTCAATATTATGGGAGAATGTGGCTGACAGATCATGAAGGGCAAGGTCATTCTTAATGAGGGCTGCTGCCCCTAGGGCAGTGGAGCCGGCAATACCCAGGGTAACCAGTACAGGGATCAGAATGGGAACACGTTTCTGGAGTCTAGTATGATAGTCTGAGGCTAGAAAATGGGCTGCACCTGTGGGCCCTGCATATAGGTATACCTGGGGAACTATATAGATAACAACACAAAGATCTGAATGGTTCCCGGGGCTAATGCAATGGTGGATACCTGATAAGCATGCAAACCAAGTCCCGCTAGGTGCAATCAGAGTCCATGGGGTTGAGCCTTCGGCTCGCAGAGAGGTGTTGGTCAGGCAGTTGTCCTTGTATGGCGAAGCTTGGAGGTTGAGGTTTCCAAGGATGAAGCAGGTCCCCTGTCCTTGAAGATCTCCTAGGGTGGGCTTGCCGGCTCGGGCACAGTTGGCAAGGGTTCCTTCCCCAGGTGAGTCTGAGTCACTAAAAGTTTGGTTCATGGGAGCTAGAGTACCCGTGGCATTTGCCCCAATACCAACATAGTAGGGTGGTGCTGGATCTACACAGAGCCAGCAGTCTTCGGTGGTGTTAGGTTGAGAACAATTTAAGAAGGAGAAAACAGAATCTAACATGGTTAGAAGCGAGTTGCTAAAGGAATTGAGGGGGTGTGGCGTTGGCACCTGAGGGGGCCCAAAGGCTGGAGCTGTTGCCCTATTCCGGCTCTCTAGAGACTCTATGAGTGTTACTGGGTTGAGAATATGGTTTGGTCTGATGGGAAGCCATGGGGGTAGACCCCCGGCAGGGTTGGGCGGGTCCCTCCGAGAAGGAACCCAGGGAAGTCGCTGGATGGTGAATAAAGTACCAATGTTGTATCCAGCGAGATATAGTCTCAATCCCCATGTTTTTCCAGTAAGCCAGGCTGAGTTTAGAGGCTGTTTTATAGTAATACTGGTGGGGTTACAAGTTTGGTTCTTGCAAGTAGGGTCTATTCCATCTTTTCCCTTGTGGGTATGGGGTGTGGGGTCCCGCAGGAGGGTTATATCATCATCATTGCCGCCCTCTGGTGACCATCCAAGGGCTAGGGTTCACAACCCCAGACCTTACAATAAAATTCTCCCGGTCCACCACATATAGTCCTCATATGCCTGGAGAATGTGTTCTCAGGACAACCATAATGCTTAGTGCTCCATAGAACATGGTTAAGGTGTCCCAGGTTACAGACTGAAGTTTTACTTATTAAGCCAAAGTGAGTTATTGGTTGGGTTGTGTGACGGGCACCAAATTGTCCATGACAGAGGTTGTCATCGAAGAATTGTGAAAAGTCAGTCTTAAGGGTTTCCTGGGAGGTTTGGAAGGTCTCATTGATGGCTAGCCTAGAGCCATCTCTAGTCCTGGTGAGGACCCAGGTATGTTTAGTTGGAATGCTGCAGAAGGTAGGGACCCACAACAAACTCAAGAGGCTGCAGTAAACTTGAGTTTTAGAGGGTCTGTGGGATCCTTAAAAAGAGCCCATTTCTTTGGGATCTGATCAGGGTGTGCTTTCTTTACCTGGGTGTGGTGAATCCACGGTCTCTTATTAGACACCTTAAAGGCTGTGAGGGTTGTTAGAATTACAAAGTGGGGCCCATCCCAGGTAGGTTCGAGGGTTTCCTTGTTAAACTTCTTGATCCAAATCCAGTCACCAGGCTCAATGTCCAGTGGGGGTGGTTCCGCTTCAGTGGGTTGTTTTCTTTCCTTGGCTGAGAGGCGGGCCTCTCTTCTGATGACTTCGATGGCCTGCAAAGACTTGAGAAGCCCCTGGTTAGATAATTCGCCTATGTGGTCATAATGAATCTTAGGGATAATAGGTGGTGGTCTCCCATAGATGATTTCATAAGGGGTAAGGTTCTTGAGATATGGGGTGCATTGGGTGCGCAACAGAGCAAATGGCAAGAGGTTTACCCAATTATCACCAGTTTCAATCTTAAGTTTGGTAAGAGTCTCCTTAAGAGTTCTATTCATTCTCTCTACCTGACCTGAGCTTTGCGGTCTATAGGCACAATGTAATTTCCAGCCTATTCTGAGAGCTTCTGCTATTAATTTGGAAATTTTGGCTATGAAAGCCGGCCCATTATCTCACCCCAGTACTAAGGGCAGGCCAAATCTAGGAATGATCCCAGTTAGGAGATGTCTGGCAACTATGTTAGCAGTCTCATGCCTTGTGGCAAAAGCCTCAGTCCATCCTGAGTAGTTGTCAACAAAAACTAGTAAGTACTTAAATCCAAATTTGCTGGTTGAGATCTCAGTAAAATCAAGTTCCCAATGCTCACCAGGTTCATGCCCTCTGATTCGGACTCCAAGTCCATGGGGTCTGGGAGGCCCTGGATTTACCTGTGCATAGGCAGAACATCGGTTAACCTTCGAAGTGGCTATAGTCTTGAGATCTGGAATATAGAAGTGTCTACTGACTAGAGAGATTAATTTTGATGTGCCTAGGTGAGTACTATAGTGGAGACCTCTAATGAGAGTAATTCCTAAGGCTTTGGGGAGAAGTAGTCTTCCATCGGGGAGCCGATGCCAGTTCCCCTTTTCTGTTGAACAATTTAACTTCCTTCCCAGGTGGAGCTCCTCTTCATTGTAGGATGGCGAGGAGGGCAATTCCTGAAGGGGAAGAGCAGGGAGGATTTCTATAGGTTTTACCTCAGTTAGGGCAATTTGTTTAGCAGTCCGGTCTGCTAGGTCATTTCCTTCTTTTGTCTGACTAGGCTTGGTTTTGTGCCCTCTGCAGTGAACAATGGCCACAGCCTTAGGTTGCCAGATGGCTGCTAAGAGGTTGAGTATTTCTTCTCTATTTTTAATTTCTTTCCCAGCTGATGTGAGGAGCCCCCTTTCTTGGTATAGGGCTCCATGCACATGAGCAGTTGCAAAGGCATAGTGGCTGTCAGTGTAGATGTTGACCCTCTTGCCTTTTGCCCAGTAGAGTGCCTGTGTCAGGGCAATCAGTTCTGCTTTCTGTGCAGAAGTTCCGTCGGGCAAGGCCTGAGCCCAGATTACCTGTAAATTAGTGACTACTGCTGCCCCGGCATACCGAGTTCCATTTCTGATGAAACTGCTCCCATCAGTATAGAGGTCATAGTCAGAGTTGGCTATTTGCTCGTCTTTGAGGTCCGGTCTGGTTCCCTCTATGGAGTCTAGTAACGAGTGGCAATCGTGGAGCAGTTCTCCTTGATTCCCGTCGGGGAGTAAGGTAGCCGGGTTGAGGGCAGTAGACTTGGAGAAAGTAACCTGTGGTGGGTTCAATAATAGTAACTGATATTGAATGAGGCAAGCATTGGAAATCCATCTGTCAGGAGGAGACCTGAGTAAGGCTTCAGTGGTGTGGCCTCTGATGATTTGGAGGTCCTGGCCTAAGGTCAGCTTCTGCGCCTCCTTGACAAAGAGAGTGGTTGCAGCTATTGCTCTCATGCAGGACGGCCAGCCTGCAGCAACAGGGTCAAGCTGTTTGGAGAGATAAGCAATCGGGCATTTCCATGGTCCTAGAGTCTGGGTTAGGACTCCTTTTGCTATGCCTTTGGGTTCTGCAACAAAAAGCTGGAAAGGTTTGGTGGTATCTGGCAAGGCAAGGGCAGGGGCTGAGGCAAGTGCCTGTTTAAGTCTTTCAAAAGCCTCTTCTTCCCTTTTAGTCCAAGTTAAATCAGGTTCCTTTCCCCCCGTACATGAATAGAGGGGTCTTGCAATTTCTGCAAACCCTAGAATCCACAGTCTGCAATATTCATCCGCGCCTAGAAATTCTCGTACCTGCCTTTTGGTGGTTGGCCTTGGGATCCCAAGGATTGCTTGGATTCTTCCTGAGGATAAGGTGCATTTCCCTTCCTCTAAATGGTAACCCAAGTAGGTGGCTTTCTTGACACAGATTTGGGATTTTCTCATGGATACCCGGTACCCAAGTTTGCCTAACTCAATGAGAAGGGATCAAGTGGCAGCAAGGCATTCATCGGAGGTCCGGGCAGCTAGGAGTAGGTCATCTACATATTGGAGCAGGGTTACCTGTGGGTGGCTGTCTCGGAAGTTGAGGAGGTCCCGGCTCAGGGCTTCGTCAAAAATGGTGGGAGAGTTCTTGAAGCCCTGAGGGAGTCTGGTCCAGGTAAGCTGGCCTGAGAAACCCCCTTCAGGGTCTGTCCATTCAAAGGCAAAGATGGGTTGGCTCTTCGCAGCAAGCGGCAGGGTAAAGAAGGCATCTTTGAGGTCCAGGACTGAGTAGTAAACCTTGTCTGGAGGTAAAAGACTCAGGAGGGTATATGGGTTAGGCACAGTAGGGTGGATAGACTCAACCCTTTTGTTTACCTCCCGCAAATCCTGAACTGGCCTATAATCTTCCGTTCCCAGTTTCTTCACGGGCAACAATGGGGTGTTCCAGGGGGACTGACACGGAATTAAAATGCCTGCATCTCTCAGCCTCTTAATATGTTTGGCAATCCCTTCCTTAGCCTTTTGGGAAATTGGGTATTGTCTGACTTGAATGGGAGTAGCAGTGCTGGCCAATTGCACAATGATAGGGGGCTGGTGAGAGGCTAGCCCTGGTGGGTTTGTTTCAGCCCAAACTTCAGGGATCTGTATGGCTAATTTAGTCAAGACATCCTGTGAGTTACTTTCCCCAGTGGGAGGTGACATTTCCTCTTGAAGGAGATATTCCTCAGAAAGGGGTACTGTAACCATGATAGTGGAAGTTTGTTGGTTCCCTAAGATTAGAGTTGTGCTATTGTCTTGAAAAGTTATAGTTGCTTTCAGCTTTCGCAGAAGGTCTCTGCCAAGCAATGGGTAGGGGCAGTCGGGCATTACAAGGAAGGAGTGAGTGATAGTGCCCTTCCCAAGATCAGTGATTCTGGCTTTAGTCCATGGGTATACTTTTGGCTTTCCTGTTGCCCCTATAATCGATGTCTTTTGGGAGGAGAGCTTTCCAGAGGCCTGCTTCAGGACCGAATAGGTGGCCCCCATGTCAACAAGGAAGTCAGTTTGTTTTCCCTCAACCGTCAGGGTTAACATGGGTTCCTGGGGGCCTAAATTGATGGAACCCTGACATCCCTAATCTTCCTCAGTCTCTAGGGTATGCGTGCAGGGGTTTCTTGTGCTTTTCTTGCCATTAGCTTGGGGCAATCTTTCTTCCAGTGTCCCATAGCCTTGCAGAAGGTGCATTGATTTTTCTTAGGTTGGGGTCTATCTTTAGATGGTTCTTTATTCCCCTTATAGGTGGCTAGTGGTCCCTTGTTAGGGGTTGCCAGCAAGATTTGAGACAGTTGCCTAGTTTGCTCCTTAATGGGATCCTCCCGGTTCTGAAAAACTTTCTGAGCTATTTCAAGTAACTCACTTCTATTCTTTCCCTCAAAGCCTTCTCATTTCTGCAGTTTCTTTCTGATGTCTGGGGTTGACTGTGAGACGAAGGCCATGTTGACCATCCGTCTATTCCCATCTGCATCCGGGTCTAAGGGGGTATAAGTTCTGTAGGCCTCTAATAATCTTTCTAAAAAGGCCGTGGGAGATTCATCCTTTCCTTGCATAGTGGCTGCTACTTTTGTTAAATTGGTGGGTTTCTTAGCAGCGCCCCTTTGACCCCTGAGGAGGTTTCGGTGATATGTGCGTAACCTCTGCATCCCCTCCCCAGTGTTTGGATCCCATTCTGGGGGTCGTTGAGGCAGTTCATCATCTAAGCCCTCGGGGCCAGCATCATCCCAGACCACAGCCTTAATTGCCTCAGCATGTATCCTCTCCCTCTCCTCTGAGGTAAACAAAGTTTGTAAAATCTGTTGACAATCATCCCAAGTGGGTTGGTGGGTCTGGAATACAGACTCCAATAAACTTATCAGAGCTTGTGGTTGCTCTGAGAAAGGGGGGTTTTGCTGTTTCCAATTATATAAGTCACTAGTTGAAAAAGGGACATAGATCATACGCACCGGGCCCATAGTGCCGGGCGCAACGGGCACCTCCGTTAATGGGAGCATTGGAACTGAGGTGTCCGCTTCCCGGCCGGTTGATAAGGGGTGCTGTCCCGTGTATGTGAGGGACTCAAAAGTCTGGCATTGTCAGCCCGGCCTGGAGCTCTTGCCTGAGGCTCATCTGAGGGTGCCCTCGCCTTCCCGCCCGAGGCGTTTCCTGTATAGGGCGGGAGCATCATTACTTCCAGGAGCGATTCCACAGGATCCCCTGGGAGGACTGGATATAACCAGGGTTTGGGTGCTTTCCCAGGGGATTCTGGTTGGCTCTCCTTGGTTGCCCCCCGCGGTCGCTCCTTTGGGGCTGCAACCATAATGGTATGGTTTCCTACCTTAGCTTTCATTCCCTTTTGGGGCTCCTCCCTTCCGCATTTTGTTATATAGGGAGGCTTGTCTAATACTATGTCAATCCAGACATCTATGTATACCCGTTGATCTGGGTGAGGGACCCTATAAACAACCGAACGCACGGCGAAGAGGAGGTTAGGGTCAAAACTCCCCTCCGAGGGCCATTCCACCCCAAAGGTTGGCCACTCTAGTTCACATAGCGCCCTCAGGAAGCCGGGGTCTGCTGGCTTCCCATAATTACAGGACCTTTTGAGAAAATCAGAAAAGTTAGAGAGCAGACATTCAAGGGGTGTCGGTTTCCTGGATGGTCCTTGGCCCATGGCGTCTCTCCTGAGAGTGAAACAGTTAGAGCAGCAAGAGAGGCTGAACATACAAGAACACGAAATCAGAAGAAAAACAAGAACAATCACTGAGACTAGTCTCACACCCTCACGAAACACACACACTTTCAAAGTGAAGCACCTAGGCTTCCAAAATCAGAAGTCAGCGTCCTGACTCTGATTAGAAGCAGACAGTGTGCGGCGTCCCGCCTGTACAGCCTCGCCAAATGCTCCGGAGCCAAAGACACAAAGAAACAAATGGATCGATCCACTTACCAAGACCACGTGGCGCGGAGACCCTAAGCCGAATCTGGCCACATTCAGAAGATCAAATTTGTAGAGGCGAGGATGGAGGCGCCTCGCCTTGTGCCTGAGGAGGTCGACCCCTCTCAGAGGGGGACCTCGAGGTGATCTCGCTGGGGCCTCCAAATGTTGTAACCCAGGAGATCGACCAAACTCAGACGCCGAGATGGGGTTTAACAAAAGGAGTTTATTGAGCTAAGTCCGCAGGCACCTGCAGTATGTCCCACACAGGAGTAACTGCAGTGGCGGAGAGATAAAATGGCTCCTTTTTATAGGATTTTGTAAGGGAGGTTGCTACGTGTAAGCAAGCATGTTACAGAAGCAGAATTTAGCAGTTAGTTAATTACCTGTTACTCAGTTTCCCAGACATCTCAAAGGTCAAGATGTTTTCAATAGATTATACCTGGCGCGGACCCCAGGATTACTCAAGGGTTAGTTATTACCCCAGGGTTAGCGATTACTTAGGGATTAGTTAGTGAAGAATGTTCTTCAGTAAATGAGTAAACTGACAACCCCTTTGGTTGTCATGAAGGCCTCTGGGAGTTTGGGTCAATGGCACTGAGTTATATCATAGCCACAATGGAAGAAATTGAAGACATTTTAGAATCAAAGATTTGATTTAACCCTAAGACCACTGGGGAATGTAAAGGACAAACACATGATCTTGCCCCCTGGATTTTTAAGGGAATGTCAAGAACTATCTACTAATAGATAACCACTGCATTGTATAGATAACCATTGCTTTGTGTGCAGGGAAACTGATTGTTCCCTCAGGCATAACAGCTAACTGCAAATATCTGCTTCTGTATGTGCTTGCTTGCTTGCATACCCTTAATCCAAATTCCTTAACAGGGGCTAAGACAACTATATAAGCAACCCTCCCCCTGAGCTCGGGGCTGCTCTCTCCTCTGAGTAGGATGGGACAGTCCCTGCGCGGCTAATAAAGCTCTCTTAATTTGAACCCAGTTCAGAGTCTGAATCTGGTCTGTCTCATTGGTCTACAACAGAATGTATAGTATGCATGAGAATAACCTTTCCACCCCAATCCTTTCTTTTATGTCGTTTGGTATTTACAGCATTGCAGCCGCTAGGAAAATTAGTCCTAGCAACAAGGTGGCTCCAGTCTCCCCTTTGGAGGAGACTCCGGAGTCAGCCACCCCCCATGGCCATCAAAGGAAAAAAAAATTTCTCCCCCTTCTCCATCTTTTTGGGAGGATTCCTCAGCATCTCCACAGCCAGCTATAGAGGGCTGTCTTAGAGAAGCTACAAAAGCTGAAGATTTTGTAGTTTTTCCAGCTATTATTTGACCAGGTCAACAACCTGTGCATGAATGTTTGCCCTATCAAGTTTTTAAAGAATTTAGGTGAAGTATAATGGAAAATGGTTTGTGCTAGCTCTTAACTTCCATATTACTGCCCTAATCCTCTCATTCCAAGAAACCAAAACCCATCACTTTTATCATTTAACCTTTCCCTAAGCCTCTCATTCCAGAAAACCAAAACCCATCACTCCAATCAGGCAGAATGGAATGATGGAACCAGAACGGAATGAAGGAACCACCCTAACCCACCCAAAACTGCAAATTGTCACTTGACAAGAAAAACAAGTTTCAGGAGTGTCCGATGGCCTGGGGAACTGGCACCAGGCAAAGTGCTCGACCATTGTCTCCTTGCTCAGCCTTGTCTCCCACCCTGAACGGCCTGCCTCCAGCCTATAGATTAACTCCCATCTTATCTATTCATATTCCAGAGGCTCCATGCATAACCCCCGCAGGGCCAAACCCTAAGGGGCAAATTCCAGCTGCAACAGGCAGATATAAAAGACACAAGCCCCTACATTGAGCGCGGCTTCTAGGACTCGACCCCCGGAGTCTGTGAACCCGCCCGGAGTGCACCCAATAAAGCCTGATCCCTGTTCATTCGGCTGATTGGCTCTCCAGTCTCTTCTCTGTTTTATTCGGCGGCGCCCCCCGATTCCTTACATCTGGTGCCGAAACCCGGGAGGAGGGTTTTGTGACCCGGCCCGGCCTTTCTGGTCGGGACGAGAATCCCCCTCCTCTCCCTGCGCCGCCACCCGTCTTCTGGATTCAGAATCTCCCTCGACCCAGCACCGACTTCTGAGCCAGGTTCCAAAACCGTAAGTCGTTTCACTCTTTCTCTGGGGTTTTCGGAGCCAGTCTCCAAACCCATCGGAGCCAGGCCCCAAAACCGTTTCGCTTTTTTCTGGGGTTTTGATCTGTCGTCCGTCCGGGGCTCGGGTCTCCCGTCCAAACCTTGGCCAAGTCGGGACGCCCCCGCCTCTCTGCCGGAGTTCCAGGAACTCCCGGTCTGAAGCTGCTTCGAGGGACGCCTGAGGCTTCTTCACGACCACCCTGTCCATCCAGGACAGACATCCGTCCGGGGACGGGCATTCAAAAGGGACGCCTTTTGTATGTCCGCTCTCCCGACACTCAAAGCCCCTCTAACCTGTCGCCATGGGCAATTCCGAATCCAGACTCGACCGTAAGACCCCCCTCAGGTGTCTCCTCAAAAATTTTTCCAAATTGGGATATTCTCAGAGTCTACACAAGGCACCGGAAAAGATTCTGAAGTCCCTTATATTCGGGCTTTGTTGGATGCACTCCGCCCTCCTCCATCTCCAGATAATCCCCTCAGTTCCCCTGTCGCTGCCCACACCCGGTCCCACACACCCACGGGGCCACTGTCCTTGCCTCCCACTTCATTTCCCAGTCCGCCCCTGATATCAGAAAGAAGCTCAAGAAGGTTGAGGAGGGCCCTGGAACTCCCATCCAAGACCTGGTAAAAATGGCCTTTAAGGTTTTTAATGCCCGGGAGGAGACGGCTGAAGCAGCCCGCCAGGCGAGGCTCCAGCAGAAGGTAAGCCTCCAAACCCAGGCTCTGGTAGCTGCCCTACGGCCGGCAGGGGACCCGAAAAGACACCAGGCCCTAAAAGGGGGACCTCGCTCGCCTCCAGGCGCCTGTTTCAAATGCGACAAGGAAGGCCACTGGGCCAAAGCCTGCCCACAGTCCAGGCCACCTACCAAGCCCTGCCCCCAATGCAAACCAATGGAACACTGGAAGTCGGACTGCCCGACCCTGGCTCAATCCTCAGCACCTCAATGCCGGGGAAATGAGACCCAGGATTTCCCAGCATTGGAGCTACTAGGGCTCATGGACGACTGAGGCGGCCCTGGTTCTGCGACTCCGGTCACCCTCGCCGAACCCAGGGTCACGCTCCCGGTAGCGGGTAAGTCTATTTCCTTCTTAATAGACACGGGGGCTACCTACTCTGTCCTCCCCTCCCATTCGGGCCTCACTTTTCCTTCCCAGGTCTCGGTTATGGGAATTGATGGGCTCCCTACAACCCCCAAACGCACGGCCCTACTTAACTGCATCTTCGAAGGCCACCCATTCTCCCATTCCTTTTTAGTAATGCCTGCCGGCCCAGTTCCACTCTTGGGAGAGATATCTTATCTAAACTCCATACTACCATCTCTTTCCTCCCCCGGCAGCCGCACCTAATAGCTTTACTCTCTGGCCCCACCCAGGCTACTGCCTCAGCTTCCGTGGTCCAGCTCTTACTGGCAGTCCACCCTGGGGTCTGGGACACAAACACCCCCTCGGTTGCCTCACATCATGCCCCCATCCTTATCAAATTAAAAAACCCATCATCTTACCCTAATCGCCCCCAATTTCCCATCTCTCAGGCTCACCAACTAGGACTCCACCCCATTATATCTAAACTCAGAAGCCAGGGCCTCCTCATTCCTACCAACTCCCCCTGTAACTCCCCCATTCTGCCTGTTAAGAAACCCTCGGGGCAGTACCGCCTTGTCCAAGACCTTCGCATAATTAATTCAGCGGTCATACCCATCTCCCCTGTAGTCCCAAACCCCTACACCCTCCTCTCTCATATTCCCCCCCATACTACTCATTTCTCGGTTCTTGACCTAAAGGATGCTTTCTTTACCATCCCACTACATCCTGATTCCTATTTTCTCTTTGCTTTCACCTGGGAAGATCCGGTCTCCAATATTTCCCAACAGCTAACATGGACTGTCCTCCCTCAAGGATTCCGAGACAGTCCGCACCTCTTTGGTCAGGCTCTTGCTCAGGACTTAAGGGAATGTGATCTGTCCCCATGCACTCTTCTCCAATATGTA